AAGTTCATGGAACTGCACATTTTGAAAAAGTCTATGCATGGATTTCAAAGATGCAAGATTGAAGGAATGACTTTTTCTTTTATATAATTATGTGCTATATTGTTTGTGGGTTGAAATTTTTCTAAAATGCTGAAAATTCACTGAGGTGATCCTTTTTTTTTTTTTTAAGATTTACTCATTTATTTGAAAAGCAGAATGAAATTGATGGTGAGAGACAGAGATCTTCTATCTACTGGTTCACTCCCCAAAAGGCCATAATGGCTAGTACTGGGCCAGTCTGAAGCCAGGAGCCAGGAACTCCATCCAGGTCTCCCATGTGGTGGCATAAACCTAAGTACTGAGACAGTGCTATGGTGTAGTGGGTAAAGCCACCACCTACAGTGCCAGCATCCCACATGGGCACCAGTTCAAGTCCTGGCTGCTCCACTTCCCATCCAGCTCTCTGATGTGGCCTGGGAAAGCAGTGAAAGATGACCTATGTGATTGGGCCCTTGCACCCATGTGGAAGACCTGGAAGAAGCTCCAGGCTCCTGGCTTGGGATTGGCGCAGCTCCAGCCATTGCAGCCATCTTGGAAGTGAACCAGCAGATGGAAGACCTCTCTCTCTGCCTCTGCCTCTCTGTAATTCTGCCTTTCAAATAAATAAATAAATAAATCTTTTAAAAAAGTCTAAAAATAAGAAACCCAAGTACTTGAGCCAACATCTGCTGTCTCCCAGGTTCATTAGCAGGAAGCTGGATCAGAAACACAGTAGCCAAGACTTTAAAGAAATACTCTGACGTGGGATGTGGTCATCCCAAGCATCTCAGGGACTTAACATGCTGTGCCACAATGCCAGCTCCACAAAAGCTAGTCTTTACAGTGTGTATTACTGCAAAGAGTTTTTAAAATTGTTTACAAGATGGTTAGAAAATAATCTGTCTGTATCTCAACTACTTGGAAATTTGTAGAGGAAAATAGGATAATCTAATATGCAAAAGCTTCTGTAGCTTAGAAGAAATGATTCTTGCATGGGATGTGTTGCCTTCCACTTAAACCATTCTCTCACACTTACTGCACCTGCTGTTTTCCCTCATCATACATCCAGAAGCTCAACTGACTTCCATGTTTTCACCTGCACACAAAAAGTATTACTCTCTTTGGTGTCATGTTCTCTGGATATAACCCTTTTGCCTCTCCTAATTGCTGTTATCTGCAAACATTTGGCATCATCTCCCTATCCTCTTCTGCCTCAGATAGCATGTTACAAATTTTTCTGCTTCATGGAATTTTATCACTTCAAGCTAAGCTACTTCACATATATTGTTATATTAGTTTTGTGATTAATTAAGCTTGGGAAATAGACTCTTTAATGCAATGCAGTTTCCTAGTAGAAAACATCCTTCCAACTACAAGGTAAATCCTGACCAAGGTGAACTCATGCTTTCCCTGAGGAGCCAGCATTTTCTTGTCTTGTGAAAAGATAGCCGAGGTCATCACATTATTATCAAGTAGATATATCAAATTCACTATAAATGACCCTGCTGGTTTAGATTTGAAAATGGTGGACTTTCCAATTTAGATGCTGGAATGCCCCTGGAATTCTCTCTTGAATTCTTTGTCTTCCTCTTTTTTTTTTCTGTAAAAGAGACTGGAGGTGATGGTTGGGAGAGCACTGACTTGGTTTCTGCAAGCACTGGCAATCTCTGTAAGGAGAAATACTTTTTCATTTAAATAAATGTGATCCAGTGAAGAATGGTCAAGCAATTTGGTGTTATAGGCCAATATAGGGAAGAATCAGGGTGGTGGTTTCTAATTTTCTATGGGGACAGGTGGAAAGAGAGCTGGGGAAGAGCGCCATGGAGAGCAAGGGTACCACCCACATGCCCCACAGCATCTTGTAATTAGCAAACCCCAAAGTTGTGACTACTTCAAAAAGGAAAAACAGTAGAAAACATTTTATCCCCTGAATGGAAGCCAGATACTCTATTGTACCTGTTGTAGGATGCCTTCCTATCCAGCACCCAACTCTCAAAAGAGCAGCAAAATCACTTTTGAAAATGTTTTCTGCTTTGGACCTGAGAGAAATAACATGTAATCTTAAAATAGGATTAAATAGGTTACTCAAGGGAGTGAAGAAAGAAATGCAGAGCCAACTTTTGTTAATTGTCCAAAGCATCAAAGCATCTGAAATAATTCTAGTTTTCTCTGTAAGCCATGAAAATTGATGAGATGAGACCAAGGCTCTTTGAATCTAAGGAAGAAACACCTAGAAACAGATAATATCTCCCTGAACCCTACTTTTCTGCACTCAGAAGAAATGCAGGCAGAAAGATCTAGTGGGTCTCATTGAAAACTGATTTCCTGGACTTTAAGCTGAAATAGATTCATTTAATCTCTGAGATTAATCTCTTGAGAGATTACATCTTGAGATGACATCTAGCCTCATGCATGGTCCCCTGCGCCTGAGGAAGGCTTATACAGAGGTGGTCTTAAAAATATTCCTGTATATCAATACATTCTTATCAACACTTTGGTAAGTGCAAATGAGCAAAAAATAGAAGGGTTAGGATTTTCTTTTAAATACACACTGGTTTAAGCATGAAGGGGGAAAACATTCAGTTGTCAAACTAGGCTTGAGGTTTTGCTGCACCCAGAAATTCTGGAGAGTAGTATGAGATGTTTTTGCCAAACTCTAAATCCTGCAGGGTTAAGCTTTTCCTCTAACCAATTAGATAATTGCCATTTCATTCTGTGGAGCCTTCAATTGTTTCTTCTTCTTCTTCTTTTTTTTTTTTTCAAAGAAAAAAAATTAGCCTTGTCTCAGGGTAATTTTGCAATTTTTCCATAATTAAATAATTACTTCAATCTCTGAATTATAAATGCTGTTGCTGTCTCTTTGGGTGCAGGAGGCTGTCAGGTGTTTTAAATAACCCTTAAGCATGGTCAGGTTAAGGACTCAATTAGGACCTTATAAATGAACACAAGGAAGCCTACTCCATAATGCAACAGATAATTCTACTTATAGTGCTTAATCCTCTCTAGTCACTAACAGAACCCAGTTGTGACATTTTGTGTCAGCCTCATCCAAACACAAGTCTCCTGAGATGAGAAGTGTTAATATGTGAATGCTGATGGAACTTGCTGGCATTATGATCAAGTATTAAATAGCTGACAGTCTGGCTAAATTGGATTCTGTTAGCTCACTAATTACATGGAAGAAGGAAATGTCAAGTTGGGCACTATTGATGGAACCCTTCATCAAAATCCTGGTTGGAGAGAGGTATAAAGAAAGGCTAATATCCATGATTAACATTGCCTGCAAACACTTTGCAAACACTGCAAAAACTTGCCTGAATTCCAGAGGATATGGGCAAGAGAAAGTATCAGCACTGATTCACAGGATGACGTACAAGGCCATCCATTATGGCTTCCTTTCTCTGCTGTCTATCTACCCTAAGGCTGCCTTCTCTTAGACTGATATGGAAATCTCAGTGATAACAACTCAATACTCTCTTATTATGAGCAGAGTGGAGTTATCTGGAAAATTCCAAGTATCCTAGAAAGCTACAGGATATGTGCAGAGTAATAGTTGCAGGGATATAAGAGGTGTTCCTGGAGACAAGCCCTGGGAAGGGGGAAGAAAGGCACCTGACTCTCTAGGCATTGTTGCAGGTAGAGGGGGCAGTAGTGACTCCATACTTTGTCTACTCTGTGATTTGGTACTTTGGACTATGCATGGAGAACTTTGTCAAGTTTCAGGATGGTCAGGGTGTTTCTGTATATTCCTTTGAATTAGGAAAATAGATTTCTTTTTCATCCCCCATATTCAAGAGTCAACATAACGTGGTTACTATGGCCCTGCTGTGAGCTTTCAGGCAAACTCTGATGGTTTTGCCTCTGGTTGTTCATCTGCCAAGTGGGAATCTAAAAAGTGCTCAACTCATAAGGTAGTTGTGAGAATTAAAAAGATTTAATACATATATAAGCTTTAAACTGTGCCTGGCACATAATGTGTATGCACTGGCTGTTAATAATACCTCTGAAATCCTTTTCTCCTCTGGGCTGTCCCTCTTCTTTGCCAGGACTACCACCATGGCCAAGTCAGGCTGTCATGACCTCTCTCTCAAATGACTTCCTCATTCTTGTTCTTATTCTAAGTCCATATCTCTTCTATTACATCATACACACTATTGCTACTCCAGTCTTTTAAGTCCACCTCTGATCTTGTCCCCCACCACTCAGTGACCCTGCAGAATTTCATCAAAGTCCAAAATTCCTAGCCTTGATTTCAAGCCCCACTCTACTTGCTGGTCCTCATTCCATTCTCAAATCTTACATGCACCCTGTCTTCCTGTGGAACCAGGCTACTTCTCATTCTCTCTGCAAGTTATCCTCTACTGATCTCAACATTGTCTTGTTTTTTATACCTATGCTTGCCATCCTCTCCATTTGGAATCTACTTTCCAATTCCCTCTAGTCCATATCCTAGCCATCCTTCACAGCAAAGCCCAAATACCACCAAATAGTTTCTCCATTCCAAGACCTTTCCTGATTCTATCATTTTACAGTTTCTTTGTTCTTTCTGACCACTGGCAAACTTTATCTTTTTGGTTCATTTTGTTGTTAATCTTGGTTTATAGTTATTAACTTATATGTCCCCTATTAGCATGTTTGACCAAGTCTGTCAGATCCTTTTATCAAGTCTGATTCCTCACTGTATCCTATTCAGGCCTGTTCCCAACCCTACGCACAGAACAGTCTCTCTACAAACATGAGTGGAACATCAAGTCATTTGCTACAACAACTCAATCTTTTCTGTGTCTTATTCTTTCTGTGACTTACTCTCAGTCACTTGACTGCTCCTTCAAATGAGTACTCATGAAAATATTTCAACTCCAAAAGCAGGATAAAAACAGCCCTGTTATCCAGAAAAAGAAAAAACAACACAACATGCACAGTTGATTCCTTAGTGACAGATTCTTAAGAAGGAGTAATGAAAAATATCTGGAGTGCAGTACCTTTGTACCTGGTCACAACAGCTGCATTAATGCTAAGAGGCTCTTGGAAGGTGACAGTGAGGGATGTGCTGCTGGTTACCATGAGGCAGGCATTGGTGGGCACCTCAGGGGCTCCTGGGACAAAAGAGAAACAGGGATCATAACATATCAAATCCTTTTCAAAGAGTGTTCCTGCTTTTTCAGAAGAACCCTAAACAGTTTCATTAGAAGTCCCGTGGGGTTTCTTTTGTTGTTGTTGATGATGATGATGCCATTGTGTTCTTATCTAAGCATTAGAACATTTTCTGAAGGGATAAATGATACCAGTGAAACCCTCCCCAGGAACCTTACCATCCCCATATGTGACTGCAATAGATCAGTAAAGGGAAGGGCAATAAGTGACAGCAGGCTCCTATACAACAGAGGCCCTTACATTTCAGAAAGTATTTCTATATAAATCATCTCTGTGGAATCCTTGCAGCCCTATTGGGTAGATAGTAATAGCACCCCCACTTTTGGATAAGGTAACTGTAGCCCACAGAGGAGGTCAGGCTCCTTGTTAAGGAACACAGAGAAGAAACACAGCCAAGAGCCTGTGGCTTCAGCTGTCTAACTTGGGCTCTGTCCAGTATACAGTTCTAACTTACCTTACTCTTCGACAGCTCCCATTATATCAGGCAGTGTGTTCTGAGAAAAAAATGCATGGACAGATGTCAGGCCCCCTAGCCTCAGGTTTTAAAGGATTGAAGATGGTTTTAGATACTCCTTAACACCCTGAAGGTGTTTTATAATTTAGAAAATTATAAAAAATAGCATCAAGCATAAAAATAGGTCTATTTCTAGTGTTAATCTGTCCTAAGTGAGGCATAATCATAAAACCATTTATGAAAAGCAATTGCTAAATATCTTTTAAAAATTCCACATATCAGCATAGCTGAAGGTTCTTGATGTTGAAAGAACCTTTCATTAATGTATCTTTAGTAATTTGCTTCAAGAAAGGGTTAGGCCTAGATTTGGTACTTAATACACAGTACTACAACAAAATTTTTACTGCAATTGGTCCTTGTCTATATCACAACTAAGGTTTTTGCTGCCAAGGTAGAGAATTTCCAAGTGAATGAACCAACATTTCCCTTATATTTAAAATTTCAAGTCTAATTTTTGGTTGTTTAAATAAATTGTCTAGAATGATATTTAATATATCACAAGTGTTTGGATTTTACATTTTATTTTTATAACAGGGGCTGCACATAGCAGTACTTTCAATGCTAATGAGTATGATTCAGAAAGAAACCCTTTAACAAAAAGAACTGGTAGAGAATTGAAGTGTAGACAAAAGCATAATTCATGGGTTGATGGACTGTCTTTCTCTGTGGCCTGTATTAACTGAAGTTCAGTTTATTGCTCTATATAAAAAAATGCAGTAGAGAGTTGAAAACAACTTAAACTTGAGCTTGAAGCAGAAACTAGACAAATAGGCAAACAAATATTTTTCCACCTCCCACATCCCAAAATATAGCCACTTAGGCCACCAGACCATCCAGGTCATTAGGCATTAGGGCGTAGCGGGTGGAAAGTGCTAGATGAGTGCGACATGGTGGAGGGAGGCCAGACACACTGAGGCCTCATGGCTGTGGTCAATGAACCTATCAGGAGCCAGGAAATCAAGTAAGACAAAGACCCTTTTACAGCCGCCCAGAGCTCTTGCTCCAAATAGGCTGACAACGACCATCCATGACCCTGTAGAGTTGGAATAAAAATCAGGAAAGAAGGTTTGGCTGTCTCAAACCAAAGTTCAGTCTAGTTAAATGTCGAAGTCCTCCGCTAATACTCACGGGCATGTTCGAAGCCTGTTTTCATACGTCTGTAAAGCCGATACTTCCACTCCCAAGCTTTCAGCTGTTTCTCCTTCTCTGTGTTGTCCAGAGTGAACCCTTCATTCTCCACCTGAGCAGACAGTTCACTCACTCTCTCCTGGGCTTCCTGGACTAGTGTATTGAGATGCATTGCTCGGCTCTCCAGGCTGACAACTAGGTGGAAAGAAATGAGACGGGATGACTGTTTTTTCTTTTCTGGGGAAATAATGTTTGGCAGAGTCTATTCTAGGTTTTTAAAAATTCCTGGGAAAAGGAATTCCTGCATTTATTGGGAACTATCTTATTATGATAAGGCCTAATGAGTGACATTTACCATCAGATTAAGTGATAAATTCATCAAATTAAGATGTTCCCTTTGCCCTCTTTTCCCAAGCACCCAATTAATGGCTTAACATAGCAGATTAGAACTCTACCACAGAGTATCCAAGAAGACCACTTCACATCTCCATTACACACATTTGTTTCCAAGACTTCTGCAGGAACAAACACTTAAGGGCAAAATTTCTCTATAGGGCCAGAGAGACCCTCAGAAGAGTTATCCATTAAGCAAGTCATATTCTACTAAAGTTACTTATTTATTTTGGCTTAGTAGAACCAGATTTAAACTTTCTGCTCTTGTCACATTCTTTCCAAAATATAGCAATTTTTTTACATATGTGTCTTCTACACATAATTTTTTTAACCCATTTACTTATTGCCAACAAAGCATACCACTATTGTTGCTGCAATTGAACTAGTGATTTCTAATGGCTGGATGACTTGGGTGGAATCATATATTGATCTTTGATCAATTTTTATCTTTTCAAAAATTTAATTTTATTTGAAAGGCAGGGAGGGGAAGACAGAGAGACTGATATACACAAACACAGCGAGTCAGAGATCTTCCATCTACTGGTTAACTCTCCAAATGCTTGGAATTGCTAGGGCTGGGGCCAGGCTTAAGCCAAGATCCTGGAACCCAATCTGGGTCTCCCATTGTGTGGCTAAATATTTTGAGTCATCATCTGCTGCCTCCCAGGGTATGGATTAACAGGAAGCTGGGGTTGAAGTGGAGTAGCTGTGAGATGAACCAGTCACTGCAATATGGGATACTGGCTAAGCAGCTTCTTAACTGATACACCAAATGTTTACTCCCAATTATGTCTTTGACTGTGGTTTGATCATAGGAGTGCCTCCAGAGATGACAAGAGGGTATGCTATACAATCTTTTCTTGTCCAGAGAGGCGATAGAGCTTTGTATTTCTATTGTACCTGATGCATGATTATCATTTGATGTACATCATACTGTTTACACAACCCAGCCTTGTGTGACTGAATGTTCATGCCAGTGATAGATCGTTTCCTGTTCTTGGGCTAAGCTATGGGGTTGCTTCTTGTGATCTGTTCTTGGCTCTTAGTGAGGACTTGCCAAGGTGGTCACCTGGTCACTTCAGAGCAGTCTCTTTTTCTTAGACATAAAAGAGCAGATAGCCTCAGTATGGGAATTGTTGTAGAGAATCTCATAGATCATGAAGCAAATCAGAATCAAGGTCTGCCAATCTGTTGCTGAAATATGTCACACTCCCTGTGACCAAAACAATATTTCCCCCTGGCGGATGGCTAAGAAATCCAACCATTTCATTCTTTCAATGAAGAGGGAAAATATTATGAAGATAATTCAAGTGAAAATTTGTTAGGTGTATTTTGAAATGGAAATTAGGTGGTTATATATTCATATTCTCTGTGTTCATAGGCATGTTTGCATTAATTACAGGAAATGAATACTAATTTATTATTGCCCCTGCGCACCATCAGTCTCAATTTATTTACAGATGAGGTCAATGAAAAATTAGTTGAGTCTTTTTTTCTTTTTCTTTCTTCTTTCTTTTTAAAGTCGCTGTTTAGAACACTCAGCACTGTGTTTTGCTGCAGATTTGTCATGGTTAATGAATGTTGCTGTAGCAGTCAATCATGTACTCTAAATACTGTCACACATTTTTTTTTAAAGCCTCAGTCATGAGCCATGACAGAAAAATAAACAAATAAATATAAAGCTAAAAAACTCTTTCACTGAGCAGCTACACTATGCAGAATCCCCCCGGGAAGGCTAAGGGAGGCCAGAATAAATGATACTGTAAGTGCTGTGGACGTAGGGAAGCAATGATGGCGTATAAATGTGGAGGTTCTGGAGAAAGAGAGTACACACACACACACGCACACACACGCATGCGGGCATACACTCCAGTGGAAAAATTGGCAATATTAGTAGCCTCAAGGTGCAATTTCCTGGAGCAGTGAGATTGACAAGTCAGTACTAAATGCTGTTAATTTAACTAACTTCAGATTAATGGTAGAGTCTGCTATGACTGAAACCCTCAAACACAGTCTCATTATAGCCTTGCTGGGAAGGTCCTAAATATAGGCATTGACAGTTTAAAACAAATTCGTATACATTTGTGTATTTTTAGACATAGGTTAGGCGTCAGAGTTTGTGTCACAGTTTTCAGGTTGATTAATTGACCCAGTAACTGCATGCTCTACCCACTGCCCCCCTCCTCCTTCCACTCCAAATTATAGAGAAAATGGGGGAATTGTCCTTGTTAAGTTATTCAGTGAGCCTTTTATTGTAAGCCTGATGTTTGAATTGCATGCATGCGTCAACACTTGGGTGATAGACACATGATTTATAAAAATAAATTTTTCTAATACTATGAAATCCCTCCTATTAATTTTTATATCCACAGCAGTTATTGCGGGTGTGAATTCCAGGTGGCATTTCAGATGGACAGCTTCTCTTGAGCTACGCTCAGCTCCCCGTGACATTTTTCCTGCTTTCCCAAGCACAACACATTTTGCTCCTGCACTTTCCCTTTCTTCTTAGGCTTATACGTTGATGCAATTTGAGTTATGCTGGTAAAAGGGTCCCACCTTTCCAAGATAAAGTATTTTGCCTCTCTTCACAGACTGACAAGAGAGCACCACAGACTTTTATAGCCAGGTGAGCTTTCCAGAGTTATTTAGATCCCTAGGATACCAAACCCAAAGAAATGGGTTGGTGATGGTGGATAGAGTCTGATACAGGGGGTTAACTCTCAAACCACAGTATGAATGGGACTTCCTGGAGTATCAGATTTTACATTTGAATTTGGAGGAATGATTCTTATTTAAAAATTCAGTACACCTATTCTGGAAAAATTTTCAAAAATCGGAAGCTTTTTTAAAGAGAGAAATTTCAGAGAAATTTTTTTTTTCCAGTTTCAGGCCTTTGGTACCCTTGAGACAACACTCATTTGCCTCTGTTGTTAGAGGTAAATGCATGGATGAGTTGGCAAGGCACTGACTGAGCTGGTTTTCAACCATTTCGCCAAGTAATTCTTTTCCCAGTGGATTTTTTTAAAGAGCTTAATATAACACTGTGTTTTGAAAGATCTCTTTTGTCTACCAAACCAGCTGACTTCTAAAGTAATCACACTTCTTCCTCACTGCTAATAGAAGTGTCTGTCCAGAATGAGATAATCAACCTAGCAAACTGGGTTAATATCATCTAAGCAGAGGCAAGTAAATATGATAATTTTATTAGACTGTAATTTTATCCTGAGTAAGAGTATGATAGGGTCAGTTTACTGACACCCTGGAAATTGTTCTGGGAATCTCATTTCTATATTTGCAACTTTAAAATGGGAGACTTTTCAGTTAAAAAATGTAAGAAAACTGAGACCCAGGGAGGTGGGATGATGTATCCATGATTTTTTTTTTTTTAGAGATTTATTTATTTTATTTGAGAGGCAGAGAGAGAGAGAGAGAGAGAGAGAGCTCTTCCATGCTATGGTTCACTCCCCAGATGACTGCAAGGGTCAGAGCTGTGCTGATTCAAAGCCAGGAGCTTCCTCCAGGTTCCTACTTGGGTGCAGGGGCCCAAGGACTTGGGCCATCTTCTACTGCTTTCCCAGGTCATAGCAGAAAGCTGGAAGTGGAGCAGCTGGGACTTGAACTGGTGCCCATATGGGATGCCTGCACCGCAGGCAGCGGCTGTACCCGCTATGCCACAGCACTGGCCCCTGCATGATTTTCTTAAAAATGTTAAATAATTCAGTGAACTCTGTCTAAACTGAATGAATGCAAACTGATCTAGTATTTTTATATAGCAGTTTTCAAGCTGCTGTATGTTTGGCCCAAGACTGGTGAACTCACTTTGACTGACTTGTTGGACGTAGACGATAGAAAGGCTATGTCTGTTTTCTGCGATTCATTTTCTTGGGTCCAGTCCTCTTTCACTTCCACTTCTGGATGTATTCCTCTTAAACCTAGTGTTCCTGATTGCTTTGTAAAGTTGGTCTTTTCTCTCTGCACTTCTTCCCTTCTCCAGCCAAGTATGCAGCCCTCCAATCCGCTGTAGCCAGCATAATAGAGAGACTGTGAGTGTAAGCAGTCAGGTTGAGCAAGACCACTAAGCTGCTCCTGAAGCAGTCTCCTTGCTATTGTGTTTAATTATCAACAGCACTGCTACCACCCAGGGCTTCTGAGTTGTTTTTTTTTTTTAAATAAGACCTGCCCAGCTAATTAACGATGGGATGGGGGTGGGCTAGGGTGGGAAGTTAATTGTTCAAAGAATACAATTACAGTTACTGTTCAAATCTGGAGATAAATAATGGTCAGGGACTGAATGAATTTTCTTCTTCATCAGAATCTAATCTTATGAATTGGCAAATAGTTCATTTTGCTTTTGCCCTTCCACTTGTTGAATTGGGATCTAGTTGATAATTGCTTAAAATTTGAAAACATAAGGGTAAATATGTCAACTAATTTTAGTTTTTAATTGAGGTGTTTAGGGAACACATTGAGAAAAATGAAAACATATGAACCCATTACAAGTTCTTCTGTAATATAGAGTGTCTTCACAAGGCATATTATGGAAATACATATTATCAAAAAATTATGCATGATATCAAATTTGTTTTGTACCAAAACGAACATCTTTTAATTCCATTTTTCCTTAACTTTCTGAAATACACTAGTATTTAAAAGTGTGCAACTGATTAAATATTTAAATTTTTTACCAGAAATTTTTTCCCCCAGAATTATATTTGCTTGCTGTTTTGTTTTGGCCATTTACCAGGTAGTAGGAGAAATGTTTTAAATGTGTTATTCCATTTAATGCTTAATAATTCTGGATA